TATTCACGTAAAAATTTTATTTGCAACGTTTTTAAAAAATGTCGCGAAAAATCAATTAAATTATTTTATTTTTAAATCTTTTATTCACGTAAAAAGTTTATTGGCGATGTTTTTAAAAAATGTCACAAAAAATCAATTAAATTATTTTATTTTTAAATCTTTTATTCACGTAAAAAGTTTATTGGCGACTTTTTTTAAAAACATCGTGAAAAATCATTTAAATTATTTTTTCTTAAATCTTTTATTCACGTAAAAAGTTTATTGGCGACGTTTTTTAAAAACGTCACAAAAAATCAATTAAATTGTTTTTTCTTAAATCTTTTATTCACGTAAAAAGTTTATGCAAAAAATCAATTAAATTATTTTTTTCTTAAATCTTTTATTAACGTAAAAAGTTTATTGGCGACGTTTTTTAAAAACGTCACAAAAAATCAATTAAATTATTTTATTTTTAAATCTTTTATTCACGTAAAAGGTTTATTGACAAAGTTTTTTAAAAACATCGCGAAAAATCAATTAAATTATTTTTTCTTAAATATTTTATTCACGTAAAAAGTTTATTGGCGATATTTTTTGAAAACGTCGCAAAAAATCAATTAAATTATTTTTTTCTTAAATCTTTTATTCACGTAAAAAGTTTATAAACATCACAAAAAATCAATTAAATTATTTTTTCTTAAATCTTTTATTCACGTAAAAAGTTTAGTGGCAATGTTTTTAAAAAACGTCACGAAAAATCAATTAACCAATTCCTGCCATTTCTCCCGCCAAAAAATAATTAGGAGGAAATCACCTCGCAAAAAAAAAATAACAAAATTGAAATTTGCGACGACATTAGAAAATCGTCGCTAATAGTAAATTTTTGGCGACGAATTAAAAATCGTCACAAAAAATATTTTTTGTTGTAGTGTATGTTAACTTCCAACAGACAAAAACATATTCAGTTAGAGGAGGAGAATGGTGATATTGTGTTGGTGGAGTTCTCAAATCTAGAATTGTCAATAAACAATGATGATAAGATTGTACTAGACGAAGGTACATAAAAAGAGCAACCACAACAACAGTTCTTTAGTAGCTAGGAAAACCAAAAGCATAATCAAAGCACTAGTTCATTATGGTTTCAAAAACAAGTTATCTTATGCACTTACCATGGTTGGTGATGGGCCATTGACATTTCAAAAAGAAATTAACTACGTTAATTACAAGGAATGGCAAACTATTATGAGTGAAGAGATGAATTCAATTCACAAGAACCATACTTGGGAGCTCGTTGAATTACCAAAAGGGAAGCGAGCAATTGGGTGCAAATTGGTATATGTAAAGAAGCAAGGTTCTCTAGGAACATATGACATCAGATATAAAACACGGTTAGTAGTCAAGAGTTATGCGCAAAAAGAAATGGTGGACTACAATGAAGTATTTTCATTGGTGCTAAAACACACATCAATTAGTGTATTATTGGCCATCATAGCTCAGTTTGAACTTGAGCTAGAAAAACTGGATGTTAATACTGCGTTTCTCCATGGAGATTTGAAGGAGGAGATTTTTATGACTCAACCCAAAGGTTTCAAGATTACTGGCAGAGAATCTCATATGTACAAACTGAGGAAGTTATTATACATACTGAAGCAATTGGCAAGATTGTGATACAAGAGGTTTGAGAGATTCATGTTGAACCAAAGTTATATCAGAAGTGAGTATGTCCATTGTGTGTACTTTAAGAAACTACCAGATGGTTCATTTGTCTATTTGTCTGTATATGTTGATGACATGCTCATTACTGAAAAGTGTTTGGTTGAAAATCAACAAGTTGAAACCTCAACTTAGCAGAGAGTTTGAGATGAAAATTTTGGGTGTCACTAAAAAGATTCTTGGCATGAAAATCCTAAGATAGTAAAAGGGGTAGATTGTGGTTGGCACAATAGAAGTAAGTGGAAAAGATATTCCCTTGATTTGGTATGGAGAATTCAAAGCCTGTGAGTATTTCTTTTGTTGCCCACTTCTAACTTTTAGTAGCTATGTCTTCATGTAGCAGGAGGAACATGTATATATGCCATATGTTCTGTATGTGATCGTAGTTGGACACCAAATGTACTCTATGGTATGCACTCGTCTTTATATTTTACATGCAGTTAGGGTGGTAGGCAAGTATATGGCATATCTTGGTAAGGAAGATTGGCATGTTGTAAAATGGTTACTAAGTATCTACACAGTACTCTGGATGTAGGATTGGTGGATCAATGAGATAATAGTTCAAAATCTCATATATATCAGCGGTTTTGTGGATTTCGATTATATTTACAACCTGAATAAGTGAAGGTCTACAACGGGCTATGTTGTCACATTAGCTCATGGTCCAGTCAGTTGGAGGTTTATACTACAACCATCAATAGCTTTGTCTATGACTGAAACAAAGTATTTGGCAATGATTGAAACCATCAAGGAGACTTTATGGCCTTGGGGTTTGATCAGTGACTTGGAATTATCACAAAAAAGATGTCTCTCTATTTTTTGATAATCAGAGTGACATTTACTTGGCAAAACACCTACTTCATCATGCAAGAACTAATCATATTAATGTTTGATTTCACTTTGCTCTTGTGATTATCAACAATGGAGAGATTGCTCTACTGAAGGTTGGGACTAAAGATAATCTTGTCGATCTGTTGATAAGGCAATTCTAGCGATCAAGTTCTAACATTGGTTTGGTTTGATTAATATCCTACAGTTTGAGCACCTTGCATGGCGCATTAGGGACGATGATTGGAAAATAGTTTTCAAATGACTTGAGCAACTTCAGGCCAAGGTAGAAAATTGTTGTCTTTTGTTCTGTAGTTTGGAAGTCCAAGGAATAGGTGGACGAGTGGAAAAACATGAATTGTTAATCACACAACACGCAAGCAATTTACGTTGTTCGGCTAATAGTCTTTGTCCACGACAACAGCATTCCAAAATTTTACTATAGAATAAAAATGAAGTGTCTGTTTTAAGCCTAGTATGTAGACGGAATCGCTTTCTAATTAACGAGGAGGTATTCTGTCATTAGCTAGTCTTCGGAGTACTTTTGTTTCAGATCACCTACTATACATTCAAATGAGATTCATTATACACAAATGAATCTCTTACTCATTAATGGTTGATAATCCGCAAAATCAAAATATATTGAAAAAGATTTAGATCCCATTAAAACTGTAATTTCTAATACAATACTTTCTTTAATATTGTAGTGTTGTCCTTATTTATGATGGCCAAACGGTTTTGAAAACCCTATTTAATCAACTGAACTTTTGGCACGAATTCAAGTTTTCCAATACATTTGAATTTGGTTGTATTTTTCAGCCCACTACTCTACATAATTAGGGCAAGCATTTTAGTTTGAATGATTTTATACAAATTGAAACTGATTTGCGAGAATATTTAAAAATGCAAACAGGCCTCATGACACATCCACTAGTTTGTCTGTGAAAGCCTGCGGTGTAAAATTAAGATTTTGTTTTACAATTTATAATATAAAATATTACAGATTTTAATAAACTCATTCGACGGTCTCAAATACACTCATCTAATGGCTACTAACATTTCTCTCAAAATCATTCACATTGAATTTCCTCTTCCCCCTAAATCCATTACTTCTAACTTGTTGTACTATGTCTTTAGTATGAGTTACCCCTAATTTCATAATAATATATAGGGTAAATTTCACTGACACTCCTTGGACTTAAGTTATATTTTACTGACACCTTCTCTGGTTTGTGAAATATCATTGTACACCCTTGTAGTTTATGTACACGTTTCATAAACTACCCCTAATGTGTTGTGGTTTATTCTCTTATGAATTGCCAAATTTACCCTTGGCCAAATAAAATAAGTTTAAAATAGTAGCAAACACCCTTTTAATATTAATTTAAATGTTAATTGGATTAAATAGAATGTATCATAAAAAAAATGTATCAAACAAAATATTAATTTGGTGTTAATTTTAAAAAGGGCAAAATTCAATTTACCCCCTTGTGGTTTGAGTGTTTTGCACATGACCCCCCTATGATTTGAAAATCAGTACATTACCCCCTTGTATTTTTGGACCGATATACACAATTAACACCGTAAACAGAAGTGATAAAATGACTTTAATACCCTCAAACTATTCATCATCTTCTTCCTCCCTCTCAATTGATGCCTAATTTTCTGAAAAATCAACCAACCACCCAACTTTACAAGTTTTTCTCTCTCTCCTCAAAGCACCAAACTTCCTTAAACCAATGTCAATATCCTCCACTCTCAACCTAGTTTTAAACCCCACAGACTTGTTTCCTTAAATAGCCCCCATGACCCACAAATTTACGCTCAAAGGTGATCACAAACTCATTTTACCAGGTTATGTACATACCAGATTTTTTCAACATTTGTGCCAACTTTGACCCTTATTTTCTCCCTATTTTCTCAACTTTTTTGGGTGATTCAAATGTCTAAATTTAACCTATTTCTACCTTCTTTCCAACCATGTATTTAATTTGTCCAGATCATGCACAAGGTAAGTGGAAATCGAGTTCCAAAGTGACGGGTTCATCATTTTAAGAAATTGTCACAATTTTTAATTCAATTTTCACCCACCAAATCTCATTCTTTCTCGATTCTAAATTCAAAAATGGATTCTTTGACCCTAAAAATGATGGATTAGGCCCCCTTCACCTCCGAAACTAGAAATTTTGAATACTCAAAAATTCAAATTTCAAGCTTAAATAAGGATTTTGATTTTCTCTCACCATACACCACAGCCACTAAAGAAAGTTTAGAAAATTGTTACTGAATATGAAAACAAGCTTACCCTATCACAGAATTGGGGATGATGTCTTGTAGCAAAAGTTCTCTTTGCTCGGGTTTTACAATACTACTCATTTGCACAGCACAAACTCAAACCCCCAATCACCCTAATCGAAGCTGATGTGTAGACTTTTTCAAAGTCGGTTTACCCGTGCCGATGGTATATTTTTCAGACTTTAATGAAGCAAAGATCGAGCATAGCCATGGACGTCGACGACGTCGAAGCATTCAAGATCTTTAAGCGAGAAGCCCAGGTATCGCACTTGTCGATGAGTTGGACATTAACTTAGCCACAAGACATGGTATACCTTAGAGAGAAAGAAAGAAAGAGAGGCTGTGGTGGGTAGAAGTTGCAGAGAACCTGTGAATTGAGAGAATCAGAGGGACTGCCAAAAGAAGAGAGAGAAAGGGACATAAAGCTTGAGGGTACTTTGGAACTTTTAACATACTTCGTGTATACCAAATTGTACAGGCGCGTGAGGTATACAAACTGTTAAATTGGAAGAAAAAGTTGACAGTGTATTTTAGTCCAACAACTATAGGGGGTAATGTGCTATTTTCAGCTCAGGGGGGTTATGTGCAATCAGGGTAAACCACGAGGGGGTAACCTGGAGTTTGCCCTTTTAAAAAATAATATTAATTTGATAAAACTAAATATTAAATTCAAAAAATTAAATGTTAATTTTATAAAATCGAATGACCATTTGGTGTTAATTTGAAATTCAATAAAAAAAATGATGTTAATTTGATAAATTGGATGTTAAATTGATGAAATTAAATGCTAATTTAGAGTTAATTTGGTGAAATTGAATATTGATTTGGTGTTAATTTTATAAAATTGAATATTGATTTGAAAAGATTGAATATTAGTTTGCTAAAATAAAATGATAATTTTAAAAAATTTAACAGCAATTTCATGTTAATTTAGTAAAATCTTGCATTAATTTGATGAAATTTAATGTTAATTTGATAAAATTGATAGTTAACTTCTTGTTAATTAAATCAAATTGAATATTAATTTGGTTGCTAATTTAATGAAGTTTAACGTGGTTTTGATAAAATTGAATGTTAATTTGATGTTAATTTCATAAAATTGAATATAAATTTGGTATTAGTTTAATAAAATTGAAGAATGATAACTCAATGAATGTGAATGTTAATTTGGCAAAATTTAATGTTAATTTGATACTAATTTGATGAAATTGAATATTAATTTGGAGTTAATTTAATAAAATTAAATATTGATTGGATAAAATTGAATATTAATCAAATAAAATTAAAGGTCATTTTGAAGTTAATTTGATAAAATTATAGATTATTTTTGTATTAATTTAAGTAAGGGTAATTAAGTCAAATGGGAGTTCTACTAAGGGTGTATTAGAAAAATTACTTATTCTATTAGAGCACAAAAACTGACAGGTATGTAGTAATATTTCTGAAATCAGAGAAGATGTTAGTAAAATATGACTTAATTCAGGAAGTGTCAGTGAAATTTACCCTAATATATACAACTTTTAAGACGTGTTTTGTTAGAGTGTGGTAAATAAGATTGCAATCCAATCCAATGGTGATAGACAAAGTGGTATAATGTTTGGATCAAGATGTAGATAAGATGCGGGTTCATTGTCGTAATATATTGTATTAAGTTTCAAAAAATGAAAACATTCTATATCAAAGTATGTGCAATGTTATTTTGATGTAATTTATTGACTTAATTCACTATAATAGTTACATTGATTGTGAGTCCCATCAAAATTTAATATTAATCCAACAATTACAATGCAACCATATCATTTTAGTCGATAAATTAAGTCAAAATTTTAAGTTTAAATAACATTACTGAGCAATGTATGGCTCTCACTTACTCGCATATATGAGTACTCTAATTATGTTGGATTAATTATTTTACAATAATTAAATAACTAAAAAATTTTACAAGTAACTAAAAAATAATAATTACAAGGAAAATCGATTAATAATTTTACAAATGACACAAATATGGAAACAAATAATTGATTGCTTGGTTTATGCAATCAATTATTTTACAAATAACACAGATAAGGAAACTAATAATTGATTGCTTGGTTTATGCAATCAATTATTTTACCTTCCATTCATATATTCCCACATGATAAATAAATCTTGTTTACTTTCATTTCCGTTCATCTTCTCGTCTAATTATATACCTTACAATCCAATGACATTATAAAGGAACGACGGCATAGCAATTCCTTTTCCTCCATCAAAGGGTTAGAAGTAGAACAAGAGATACAAAAAAAAAAGTTGTAGAGATGAGCTCAAGATTGGCTTTTCCAAAGGTTTTTTTCGTAGTGTTATTGTTGGTATTGACCAATGAAGTCTGTGGTCAAGCCAACACTTTTAATGTGAAGGACTTTGGTGCAATTGCAGATGGGAAAACAGACAATAGCAAGGTAATCCGGCTCTTTGGAAATCTCTTGTTAAACACTACTAGTAGTTACAATATTCATGCTATTCACTTAGCATCGAGTCGATATTAACTCATGTTTTTTTTTTCTTGTTCGTAGGCATTGTTGAATGCATGGAGCAAAGCATGTCGAGGGAAGGCACAAGGCACGGTTTTGGTTCCGTCGGGAACGTTCTTAGTGAATCCGATAACGCTCCAAGGCCCATGCAACGATCAAACAGCGTTTCAGATAGGTGGGGTTTTAAAAGCTCCTTCTGATCCTTCATTTGGTACTGACCAGTGGATTAACTTTAAGGGTATCAATGGTTTGAAAGTCTATGGAAAGGGGACTTTCGATGGCCAAGGAGCTTCTGCTTGGTCACAGACCAAATGTGGTGGGAATGCCAATTGCAAGCAGCCTCCATTAGTAAGCTCTTTTTTCAATTCTAACTATTTTTCGTTTTCGTGGAAGAGAGAATTGTGTTAGTCACGTAACATCCATTAACCACATATATTGATCAAACACGGATTTTAGAAAGATGGTTTTTTGGTTCGCTCATTATTAGACCATTGAACCAACAGGCTAGGGTTTTGCAACACCTCACTTTTTATGGCATCTATTGATTTAACATCTCGCTTTTTCTCTTTTCTTATTAGTAAGTTCTTTTTTCGAAATGGACAATTTTTCAAACCACTAATCAGCTGTTAGGTCATAAGCATCTATTAGAGTTTGGTTGTTAGGGGCAATAAGATCCATATGTCGCTTTTTGGACACTAGAACCAACCCATTAGGGTTCGTAACATCTTACATTCCATGACTTTTATACTAGTCATCGATTTAACATATCATTTTTTCCTCTTAAACAGTCAGTGAAATTCAATTATATCACCAATGCATCAATTCAAAGCATAACCTCAGTAGATAGCAAGTTCTTCCACTTCGCCATTTGTGAGAGTGAGAACATTATTGTCTCCAACGTGAAGATATCAGCACCTGGTGACAGCCCTAACACCGATGGAATCCATGTTAGCAACTCGAAAAATATCAAAATATTGAACTCCAGCATTGCCACTGGAGATGATTGTGTATCCTTAGGTCCTGGGAATACAAACGTATCCATTTCTGGTATTTCATGTGGACCTGGCCATGGAATTAGCATCGGAAGCCTTGGAAAATACCCCAACGAAAAGACTGTGAAAGGAATTTTTGTGAGAAACTGTACTTTTAGCAACACCCAGAATGGTGTGAGGATCAAAACATGGGCTCCTTCCCCACCCAGCAAAGTTACTGGAGTTACTTTTCAAGATATTGTTATGTACAATATAGACAATCCCATTATCATTGATCAACAATATTGCCCTTCCAAGCCATGCAGTGCCAAGGTATGCCTCTGTTAACGTTTACTTTTCTATAGTTACTCATTTTCCACTGCGGATTTTGGACAAACAGTATGTTTGCTTCATTGTGACCTATGCATTAACAATTTGAGTCTTAAAAACCTCCTTCGACCACACAATGGTGGTAGACGTGTGCCCATGGCCGCCATTTTATCGTATGTTATGCTGCACTTAAAATTATGTTATCAAAGTTCTAATTAATGTTAATTATCTTTTTTTTGTTGTTTTAGGGAGATTCTCTGGTTCAAATCAGCGACGTAAACTACATAAACATTCAAGGGAGTTCGAGTTCAAAAGTTGCAGTGAACGTGCAGTGCAGCCCAAGTTTTCCATGCCAAGGAATTAAATTCAATGGCATAAACATAAGCTACAGTGGCCAAGGAGGACCAGCAACTGCCTCATGTTCTAATGTCAAAGCATCTTTTCAGGGACAACAAATTCCTCCCCCTTGTGTTTAGCTTTTGAACATGCAGCTTTGTAGCGCCCATTAAGCTGTCTTTAAGTTCTGCGGGGCATAAAGCTGTTATATTTTGATTGTTCATAGTAATCTTTAGTTAACAAGAGGCTGAACAATTCACAAGTTTTCATGATTTCATGGTCTTTAATTATAATTGTTTTTGAATTGCATGGCATTTGAAGAGATATTGAATCTCAAATAGTGAGTTTGGGAGGGCGTATTCCTCGTCTTCTTCTTTTCTGAAATGGGTAATAATTTGGTAAAAATTCCAGCTATATTGATGAGTTCAGTGAGTTTCGTTATAAAAATTGACGAGATCTACACATACAAATAAATTCAATTGAAGATGTAATTGAAGGTATCATATGTCTTTATCATGTAGAAAGTAACAAGGAGAGTTAAACTGATTCATTGCTTGACTTATGCAGGTAATTGTGTGGTTTCATATTTATGTCAGTGTAACTATAAAAGCCATTCATGCCTCCTTTGACTGGTGTAATCTTAGTTCTATGTGGAAATTTCGTTCACCATTTTTAGAGAGTCAACTGATTAATTTATAATGTGTATATTAAACCAACGGTTAGAAGTTGTAATCTTATATTAAACTTAAACCGAGTATTCTACAAAGAGCAATCTACAAATCCCTATGAACAAATCAAACCTCCGTCGTAATCTTATATCCAACTTGACTGTTTGGGCAGGTGTCGTTGCTCTTTGTTTTTTTCTTTCTTTCTTTTTTTTGTAGTCCGATATATTATATAATAAACTATAAGATTAAAAAAAATTTCAACGGGGTGATTAGTCGAGTAAGTAGAGAAACTAAATGAATTTACCATATAGAATGCATAAGGGGATGCATTTTGTTTAAGATTTCTTTTTGTTTTTTACCATAAAATAAAAAGGATATCAAACAAGCTCTTGAATTACATGAATTAAGATTATTCGTGTCATATACCCATTAAGTGTCATATATAGTAGTACTAGCAATTGTCCGTGCCTGAAGGCACGGTGTTACTCGTAAATTAGTTACAAATATTTAGTCATACATAAATGTAAAATAAAATACAACATTTTAGTAACGACGAACAAAATTTAGTCTTCTAATATTTTTTATAACATCAACCTACATGCATAATATATATTTTCATATTAAATTGTTACGCCACGAAAATTATGTTATAACTACTGAAACATAATAATTCAAACAGCTGAAAAAAATATATCAGTTGATAATATTCATGTTATGTTTTTGATTCAAAATCAACGTTTTTAACATCATACTCAACTTTATCTAAATAATAACAGAATTCATAACTAATAAAAAAAAATTAAAACAATACTCCTACAAAAAAACTAAGTTTGCAGATGTTATCAAATGACAAAATATAACTATTAGAAATTCAACTGACTTTCAAAAGATACTCGACTATTGAATTTGTATGATTCGAATTTATAATAGTGTTTTTTATATTTTAGATTCTATTTTTCTCTAAGTTATTCATATTCTTAGTATATTTTCCTTTGATAAAACGTTATTTATATTAGATTATTTAGTAAATATTGG